TGGGCAGCTAAGAATTAGCAATGCAAATTGCAAATCAAATTTTCTCCTTGTAAAGCTTACTTCAAGATAACATCAAATGTGGAGGGAGAAAAATTTGGTTGCTCTAAATAAGTCCAATCCCCTTCCTTCATTACATGTTTACTTGACAAAGCAGTACGAAAGTATGGGGACATCGCCCTTAAAATAAGGGAATGCGCTTTAAAACATTTTATATTCGAATCATTTCCAGTTCGAATGATTGTATTAAATTCATAATCCGGATCTTCAAGCAATTTTCCGATCTTGTTAGAAAAGTTTAATAGCAACTTATCAGAAGACATGTTTTTTAAAAAAAAAATGAAAAATGGGAAGAGAATAACGACAACTCGTATTTATAAAGATTTTTCCTTAATTCCACATGATTTATCACAATCCGCATTTTAAATTGATACTTGATAAGGCATATCTCCGAGAAAACCCTTGTGTTACGACATCGTGCCGTCCTTATCGGGAGATAATTTCGCTGACCATGTTTTCACCACGTGAATACCAATTATAGATATCATCTATTTATTAAACGTTTAATACATTTTACCCAATTTAAGGGAAATTTAGGGTATATACAACGAACTTTTTTTTCTTTCAGAACCATCGGGGCTCGTTGTAGGCATAGTTTTTTGTGTTAATAATATTTGCATATAAATTATATTGAATATTTTTATCACTTCATGTGAAGTTACACACTCAAATCAGATATGCCATATTTATGCACTATTCATATCTAATCTCCCTTTATCTTTTATCTCTTATCAGATTATTTACTATCATGATAGTGGTAGATAATGTTGGTAACGGTAATGCTTATACGTACGTACGTAAGTTATACGTACATTATCTGTTATGCATAATCTTGCTGATAGATAAAAGAATTTTTTATAGTGTAATATATAGAGTAAAATTAGCTAATCAGTTGTAATAAACTAGCCAACTGATTTAAGACTAAAATTCAACTATAACAATCTCCGCCATCTAAATCAAAAACTATTATAGTTTGAGATTTCAATCCTAAACTTTGGCAAACTATATCTATAATGATTTTTTATAAATGGCAAATTTTTTTGGGGCGTTTGGGATCTATTTTTCCGGCTAGGGATTGGGCCCGCTTAAGAAAATCTGACCTGCGTTATTCGTACGTAGGTTAATTGTTAAACT